TAGTTACACAAAGTAAAAAAAATATGCTTATTTTTTAAATAGTCGTTTCTAGGTAACAAACCAGAAATGAAGATAAGGTAGAAATGAAGCGACGGAATGACCTTGAAGATGATAAAGCCATGACAAAAAGACACTATCAATTTGATTTTCTGGTACCGCCACGGATTAAAGTGATTTTGAAACGAATAGGAGCTTTCAGATCAGTATTAAAAACGCGTAACTAACTGTATAATGTTAACTGATCTATGAAGAAGGAAAACAGAACAAAACACTAAAGCGCAAAAAAGTGAAACGCCCAAAGCATAAGGTACAAAACTGGTAGAAAATAAGATAAGACTTGATTAGAGGAACGTGATGTAAATTTGAAATACCAATCCACATTTACAACAAGAATTTAGTTTTTTCGAGAGCTTCTAAAAAACAGAGACCAACTGAAAACAAAGCTTGAGGGACAGGGAGCCATTTCTCAGCTCCTCTCCCAGTCAATTTAAAAAAAAATGACCCAGGCCCAGAAGTAGACATCTTGATATTGACCACAAATGACTTTTAAGATAAATTCCTTTAAGAACAAAGGGTTGCCTTTAAAAGTCCACAGTTCTAACAATCAACCCTTAAGCCTCGAGCGATAAATCTTGTAAAAAGTAACATGCGCGAATTAGTGTTAAAAATCAGAGAAGCACTTAATGACCTCACTACAAATTGCTTCATCCAGTGCAGGATCGTATACCCCAAAAAATTTGCGACAATTAAGCCCAAAATATTAAAATAGTTTCCAAACCTAAAAAGAAGTGAGAATCTAGGGTGTCGAAAATTTGCTTGAATAATGATTGTTTTTTCCACAGTAAAATTCACTAAAAAACTGCATTCAATTAGTTGTTTCCAAAAGAAAAATAGATCAAGGAGAAAAAGAGAGAAGAAATGAATAAAACTGGATGTTTTTTACCGACCGCAAAAACAGTAAATGAAAAAATTTTATCAAAAGCAGTTAAAAGAGTGAGTTCCTCTAAAACTACCAGCCCAAGTTGTTCTGTTATTTTACGAAAGTTCATCTCTCCAACAAACAACAGCCAAAAAAAAAGACAATAAAAGAAGTACCAGAATTGGGAACAGTAACAGACGAATGTGACTGAAGTCGACGTTGAATTTTGATGCACCCAATATCCAAACCTAATTTTCTGAAGTCTTACCTGCAGCACCTGAAGTGACAACCAAATTACAAAGTCTTCTTGGACCTTTCGAGGTGACGTTTAAAGCAAACTCACAAAAATAAGATATTCTAACGATAAACAAGCATTGACAAGAATCAAAAATATTCAGTCCAGTAATTCTTATTTTTTTGTATATTCATTAGCACATAAAGAGTAACACTAAATTAATGAAATGCTTCAGGAGATAAAAAGACATTACAAAACGCTTAAAATGTAACAGATATGATTCAGCGATATACATTAAATCAAATAAATTAATGGTGATAAATTAAAAGCAAAAAAAAAAATCCAACTTTCCCTCTTCACTAATCTTCCTTTCATACAAAACACAAATACACAACAGTTCACGCACGGTGTTTTGCCAAAAACCGTCGTAAAGCAGGCCTCAAAATACGTTGAAAATCTGTTTATAGGTGACAATGAAACATTAAACACAATAAATGTGGAGAAACTAACTATTAAACTACGACGAAAAATTGCTTCAAAAAAAATGACAGATTGCTGATTTGGCTTTTCTTTTTTTTTTTTTCATTCGGTCGCTTCGTTCTTCTTTTTTTTTTTTTTGTCTATTCGCTTTAATTTTAACTTTTGTACGCATTCGAATTTCATCCTCAACTTCTCTTACGGTTCTCGTGACGAAAAACATTTTGCCTCTGGCAAACGGCCAACGCAGCCCAGTAATGTATACAATTCTGTACAACAGCTCAGCTGGCGCTTGTGTAGGTCAGGATGACTGTCAGTTTAACGTGCTTTTGCAGACGTCTAATTCCTGATTATAAAATTAAAAAAGCAAATATGTCCACGAGTTTTTGGAACTGTGTGGTTTCTATCTGTAATTCTTCTTTTTTAATTGCTTGGATGGTATGATTTAGGGCTGGTGTATTTAGTACGTTCATGAGATTTTCGGTTAGATCATATTTTCTCCAGTTCCTAACATTCATATGTAATTAAACGTATGTGCTGACAAATCATTTATTTTTTGTTTGCTAAAGTCTCTTTGGAGAAGTGTTGTTGGCGCTTGAATTTCAGACGTTCCAAGCATCTGGAGCGTTTGGTAATGTATAGCTTCGAATCACTTAATTTTTAGGACCTGTACGATATGCATTTTGGGATTTCCAATTTTAAAATCAAAAATTTACATTAGATTCTCGAGAAAATAGAGTTCTTTTTTCTTTTTTGAATTTTTAAAGTTTCGCACAAATAGTGAACTGCTTTTGTTTCAACGCGATTTATGCACAAAAGTGGATTTAAATTTACAGCAGCTTAGTAAGTGGTGGAAGGCAAAGTTCGTGAGATTGGGAAAAGTCCAACAGAGAAAAGAAAAAAACTGGTGATAATGCTCAGACAGACATACTCGCAATGAGTCCGTTGCTGTTCATGGTTGTTTTTGTCAAGGGGGTGCATTAATGCGGATTGCGGCGACGATTTCATCACAGTTTTTCGTCTTCCCCTTTTCCATCGTAGAGTATCATTTGTGTAGCTGCTAAGGTCGATTGTAATTTCATTTAACCATATGGAAGGGGTACAGAACGAAAGTATCTTCTCGACAACTTCTGACTCATATTTTTTATAAGTATACTGCTCTTTACCTATAGTTAAGTGCAGGTGAGGTTTCAAAATCAAAAAGAAATGAAAAAGAAAAAAAAAAGGGAACAGGATGTCATACACGGTAATGAATCGTAGTCCGCATAGCTGAGTTTATATAAGTCCATGTTCCTCAGCAACTTTGTTCACCTGTCATTACGTTGTCAATTCAAAAAATGGTTTCGCCGTTCCTGTTTTGTTACTTAGCCAATGATGTGGATACTACCTACTGATTAAGATGAAATTTCAATGAACACCACGCTACATTTAATTACCTGGTGGAATCACTGTTTTGAAAAACTTCATATTTTTTTTCCAGCCGTTACATTGCTAACTTCTGGCTCGCTCTGCTCACAGGCAAGCCTTTTTTTCCTTTACTCCTCCCGGCTACGCTGCTGGCACTGAATGTTAGAATCTACAGTCTTGCTCCGTTGAAGAAAATTGAATATTCAAAAAGTTGAGTGGGTGTTAATGTCTCAAGATGCAAGAGAATTTTGCTGGGATATAGACTGTAAAATCAGGGAGCTTTGTAGGTGACAATCAAAAAACAGGAAGTATGGAGATCCCCTGAAATGCTGACTGTGTGGTCAGAAGATAAGAAAGTTTGCGCATTTGCATTTTGTCACTGCAGCACATTGCGCAAGACACCCAATATCACAAAATAGTATTCATTTTTAAAGAAACTAGATCAAAACGTCATTGTCAAATACCTCTGTTGCAGCCAAATAACTTCATAGGTATTTTCGGCAATCATCTGATGACGAATACTGACCAGTTTTGCAGGGTTGTTACGATTGCGTTCTCGTTTGCTGAGCTGCAGCATTGCTGATAGCGCCTTTTCAGATTGTGGCCGGTGACGGATGTTGCTTTCATATTTTTGTTTTTATCCTTGTGCGATATGATTCATTTTCTAATTGTTTGAGTGCTATACCAGGTCATGGAAGGTGAATAGATTCAATGATCTAGTTTGTCATGTGGGCAGCTGTAGAATCCAAATTTTAGGATGGACACCTAGAACTTAGTCCCCAGTTTTTTTTCTACTAATTTTACAGCATAGTTGCATGAAAATTTGCTGTTAACTTCATCAGTTAATTTTCTTTACCGCTTTTTTATTCTCTTTTTCTAAATCATTTAAAACCACTTTTGTCAGACTAATTTACTGAACTATCTGCTAAGTATTGATTTTAACGCACATTTTAACCCCGTTAACTATATTGTAGTTTTACCTGTCAGTTTGTTATATCAGGAAAGTTGTATTGCGTTATCGTAGTTGATACAATACGTTCTAGATGAACAAGAGTTTGATCATGAATGCTGCTGGTTCGATTTTATTTTGGTGTAATGCTTCAAGACCACAAGAACAGTTTTTTTTGTTTTGAACTTTGATGCTTCTTTTTTTGTCGATGCAGGTGCGCTGCTTTATGTAAATTGTAGAACTTTCATTGCTTTTAATTTTATTTTCGTTTGCTGCTGTTAGCAATTTCAATTCGTTTATTCGCTCTTTGATACTGTGCTTGATTTAGATAACCTATACTTGTTGATTAGGAGAAGGTAGCGATTTACAGAATATGTCAAAGAAATTTCTTAGTGCCCTCGGTTAGTTAATTTTTAACTTTTACTATACTTCTTCACTTTTTCTATTTCTCTATTTGTTTCAACCTAAAAGCTTGATCGAGATGCTAATAAGAAGAGTCAGTTGGACTTTTTAGAGCAAATCCTGCTTTTAATGCTTTTTATCAAAGATTAGGCGTAAAAGTAGTGACAAACTGTGTACCATTTAAAAACAAAATGTCATTTTTTGAATAAATATGGCGTTTTACTGGTAGTGGATAATTAAGTACTACGTTTAGATGATTTGTATCCGAAGAACTAAAATTGAGCAGTTAATAATGGTATTATTAATAGTAGTAGTATTAATAACAGTAACAAAGAAATAAGAACAGTAATGGTATCAGCAGTAAACTATTGTGATAATCGCGAGAACTCAAGGAAACTATTAGTTATAAGAAAGAATGAAAAAAATTTTTTTTAGTGTTTATTGGAGTTTTTTTTATTTGATTTCTTTTTCAGTCATGGAAGATTTTCTTTTCTGTTTTTAGCGGAAAAATTTTTTTTCTCCCCGAAATTATTAAATGGTTTCTGAGTCAGGAGCAGATAAAATTTTGTCTGTGAGTTCTGATCTTAGTTTTGCAAGTCATTAGGATTTAATTGAAGGTTTTTTTAGATAAAGCAACTGACTCGACTTTGGTCGACCCAAATTGGGAGGCAATTCTTGAATGTGTTGACCTTATTAGGGGCGGTGAAGCAACGTAAGTTTGAATTGTTGTTATCAAATTTTAATTTGAAAAGTTGCTGGTGGGAAATCCGGGAATTTAAGTTGGCTGACGTTACTGCATGAAAGGGACTTACATTCAGCTAAAAAATGCTACTTGAAGTTGAACTGTTCAATCTGAACGTACTTGAGGATGCTGAGGAAGTGTTGCGTGCTGGATTTTTTGTTTGTTTCACACTTTTTTTTTTTTTTTTTTTTTTTTTTTTTT